TCGCCGCCGCCGCCGCCGACCTCCCCCGCGCTGAGGCCCTCTTCCTCTCCTCCTCCTCCTCCCCGCAGCACCCTCCCGAGCCCCCCACCCTCGCCAACCTCCTCCTCCGCGCCGCCGCGGCGTCCCGCGCGGGGCCTCCCCAGCTCCTCTCCCTCTTCTCCCGCCTCGTCGGCCGCCACGGGTTCCGCCCCAACGCCTTCTCCTTCTCCACGCTCTTCGCCGCGCTCTCCGGCGCAGGCGCGGCCGCGGCCCCCCACGGAGCCGCCCTCCACGCGACCGCGCTCGCCGGCGGGTTCGCTCTGTCCAGCTCGCACGTCATGACCAGCCTCCTTGACATGTACGCCGCGGCCGGGCAGCTCGCGGATGCCAGGAAGGTGTTCAACGAAATGCCCGGCAGGACGGCGGCGGCGGCGGCGTGGAACTGCATGCTCTCTGCTTACGTGCGGTGCCGTGAGGTGGACGCGGCTCTGCGTTTCTTCGGTGAGATGCCTGGGAGGGACGCGGTGGCCTGGACGACGGTGATAGCTGGGTGTGCCAGTGCTGGGAGGGCGGCGGAGGCGGTTGATCTGTTCTGGAGCATGAGGAAGGCAAGGGTCAAGGACGACTCGGTGACGATGGTCGCCTTGTTGACGGCGTGCGCGGAGTTGGGGGACCTGCGTCTCGGGCGATGGATACATGCGCGAGTGGACCAGGAAGGCCATTTGCAGCGGACGGTGTCGCTAGACAATGCCCTCATCCATATGTATGTGAAGTGTGGGGCTGTGGAGGATGCGCACCGCATGTTTCTCGAGATGCCGAGGCGGAGTGCCATCTCATGGACTACAATGATTTCCGGGCTTGCGGTCCATGGTCGTGCCGAGGAGGCTCTAGAATTGTTTAACCGGATGGAGGAACGTCCTGATGGCACAACGCTGCTCGCTGTGCTGTCTGCGTGCAGCCATTCACGGAAGGTTGACGACGGACGGCAATACTTTGAGAGCATGGAAAGAGTTTATGGGATCGCCCCAGAGATACAGCACTATGGATGCATGGTCGACATGCTCTGCCGCAGCAGACGATTGCACGAAGCACTTGAGCTCGCAGAGACAATGCCGTTGCAGTCTAATGAGGCCGTGTGGGGTGCACTATTGAGTGGATGCAAGAGGGAAGATAATCTTGAGCTTGCAGCCAAAGTAATTGATAGATTGACTGAGCTACAGCCTGATCGAGCAGCTGGGCACCTTGTCCTCCTGTCAAACATGTATGCGGGTGTTGGTCGGTGGGAGCAGGCTCGGATTGTGAGGGAAAGAGTGGCTGCACTGCATGCCAGGAAGCCTGCTGGAGGGAGCTGGGTGAATCAAAACGAGACCAGCATGTTGATAGCATGATCTCAACAAATTGTCTAGTTTCACTCACAAAATTTCACATGAAACATTGGGGCTTTGTGTTCCACATTTAAAATGCAGTAATTATCAGAACTCGAGGGAGCACATTGGGGCGTTGCAACCATCAGGTGTTTGCATTGACGTTTATATTGACACAGTAATAGAAAAAAGTTCAGATCTAGAGAAGATGAAATGATCAGTCTGCCACACACTTTCTTTTGACTTTTGGTGCAACTGTGGAATTATGCACCAGTTTCCATCTTCGCTGTTTCAAGGTTAGAACATGATACATTTGACTTGCTATTAATGGTTCTAAACTTCTGTTTGCGGTACTTGCCAGATAATAAGTTAATAACAATGCTAGAAATATGTATAGATCCGTCAATTATTATAGTTGTAATGATGAGGTCTTTGAAGCGTAAACTTCTCTGTCCACCTTAATTCATTTTTGTAGGAAAGAGTGTCATGACAGCCCACCCCGCTCTCGCAGTAATAATTAAACACCAATGCAAAATCATAGCAGAACTACATGCACAAGCTGACCTAGTTCGTCTCATTTTCCTTGCTAAATCTTTCTGAGAGATACGAAAGCATTCTTCTGGTATCAATTTGAACAATGCTCCTGTTCTCTCTTCTATGTAACCTATTCTGTACACCTTTTTTATATCGGCAAGTTGATAGTTGCTGAATCTAACTCCTTCTGGATAAATTGAAATCAGCTATTCGTTGATAGCAGCAGGGTTGGTTCCAGTGTCACCCGAGAAGCTTATTGCATGTGCCAATGCCAATAGCAGCAGCAAGATGCCATGCAGCATGGATATAGGGGGTCTCTGGGAAGTAATCGTCGGCAATAAACAGCGCACCTCCCAAAAGAGATGACATCTTGTGCAGGTTATGTACCGTTCTGAGCTCTGGTTCAACTGATGCTCTCTTTGCGAAGGAAACCTGCCATGTAAACAGTTTGATTTATCCAACAGTTTTCTTTCAACAAAGACTTGCTCAACAAGCGAGTTTGCTGATCATTGAAATGGTTTGTTTTAGACAGAAGAATCTGCCAGGTCATTTGGATTACTTGCCTCCATCATTCCGGTGTGGACAGCTGAAACCATGAAAGGCTGAAACGGCAGCAGCAATGTTGATGCTGCCATCAGTAGTCCTGGGTTCTCATTCCTAACTGCCCTGGATAAACACTGCATAGAAAAGCATATATGTTTGCTATGATGTGCAAATTCTGATAATTGAACAGCCTTTTAGTGCAAAAATATGACTCACCAGCGTAGTGGTGGCAATCATAGTATAGTCGGCCCATCTCAGGATTTTTCTGATCTCTCCTCGGGAGGAATGATACAGGCCGGAAGCTATTCCTACTCCAACCAGCGAGTTGGCGTAGATGGCAGCGTTCAAGTTCTTCCTGCGGCACCGACTTTTCTTATTACATACAAACTCAGAAACAAATAGAGCAAAGAATGATCTTGTCTCAGAAGATGTCTTGCCTCGGTGTCTGCAGTCCAAGGACGATGAAGGGCAGAGAGGTGACAACATTTGCAAAAGTTTCACCGGCATGCTTGTCACCTGATCAAACAAAACCGTCAGACAAGAGGCTTCAGTTGGCAAATATTGTGGTACCGGTTGCTGGGCAGGCGGAACGGAAGCTGCCATACATGTGATGCTACAGTGGATGGGCTTCAAGCATGAGGGCCTTTGCTGCCACAGTCGTCTGCAGTTGTTACAAACGCAGGGTGTCAGCTCAGTCTGGTGTTGAGTGCATTTCTCCTGATTAATGGAAGCTCACCGTATCAGCAGTCTTTGATGTTGTTGTGTGACTGTTCCACCGCCATTTTGGTGTTCACAAGTTGGCGAATCGGTGAAGCTGGTCTGGGCAGCTTCGCCTTTGCTCAGTGCCTGTGGCGGCCGACGAACAATCTGCACGCCATAGAGCCCATCTAAGATGCCTGGGGGGTTTCCACCCCTCTGGACACACATTTTTGCTTTGCCCCTCCTTTAGCAGCGTACGGTCGATTACTCCTGAGGCCTGCAGGATGGAGTTGGACATGGATGAACATAGCCGCGGTCAGTTCTTCGCTTCATCTGGTGAGCTCTAACAAATTTTCTTCTTCCTTTGGTTGCGGTTGGAAGAAACTAATGCAGTAAGATTGTAGGAAGCGCACCTTAGCTATGCACGGCTGGCTACCCGAGATTGCGGCAGACCTTCTGCCTCTTCTCCGGCGGGCGTTGGTGGATGGCCCGGCCGGCCGGCGACGGCAAGGGGGAATAAATAGCGTATGGGTGCGAAGTTGTTGGAAATCCTGGCGCGCCGCGAGAGACGCCAAGTCATGTGGGGAGCAGAGGATGCCGATTCCGAACGGATCTTCCCTCTGCTGCAGCGCGGCCGTGGCGCTCGGTCCGAATATCCTCTTGTCCACGGCGCGGCATCGTCAAAACTTACACGGAAGACAATTCCATGCAGGAAAAATACTACGTGGATTCTGAATGGCGCCAACCGAGCGATTAAGACGCAAACAAAGTACTAGAAAACTTGCTGGTGGAACTACGGAACGTCTTGCGACCGCACCAGTTTCTGCTTGGCGGAGGCGTGAAAGGTACCACTAAAAACGAAACTTTGGCGAGTCTCCTAAGAGGCTCGGTAATTATTGGAAATGCATCTACTCTCTCCATCAATATAGTACTCCCTTCGTTCCAAAATATAAGTCTTTTTAGAGATTTCAATAGGTGACTACGTACAGAGTAAAATGAATGAATCTACACTCTAAAATATGTCTACATACATCCGTATGTTGTAGTCCATTTGAAATGTCTAAAAAGACTTATATTTCGGAACAGAGGGAGTAGTATATAGTAATACTATTCATCATTCAATAAGTTATTCTTTACCCGAGATAATTTTATGACCGTTTCATAAATAAATTACAATTGGAATACATTTAGTTACATTTGTATTGATTCACTATGTAAAATTTGACATAAAAAATAAAAATATATGTCATAAGACTAGAAAAAAATGTATTTTATCTATGTTTTACACTATATTTTTACGTTTGTAATTTTACGTAACATATATGTTTTAGAACGATTATATATTTTCTTAGGTTCTTTTTTTACATATGAAATAAGACAAAAATGAATCAGAGCAGTAATATATGACATGCGTGTTACACAAAGCATACTGTTAGATTCATATGTGAAAGGACTTTTTAATGGTATAATTTTTATAGCATACATCTCATGTATTGTTAATCTTGTCAATGGTCAAATGCAACCTAAAAAACCGTATACCTTATATATAGAGAGAGGGAGGGAGCACAACTACCAAACTTATTAGTAGGCGTGCAGACTCAGGGACAACTGTGCTGTTGGTCATCAAACTTGCTATGTTATTATCTTCATAATGGGTAATATTGATATCATGCAAGTTTTCATTTATTTAGATGTAGACTCATTTTGCATCGGGTCGCGTTATGTTATGGTATATGTTACCACAAGCACCTCTTTCCTCATTAGCTACGTACCACGTAAACAAACTTTTCTTAGGGTGGTCTAAGTTACTCCTACTACGACCAACCTAAGAGCATCTCTAGCCCTTTCCCTTATATTTAACTTCTCCAAGGACCACTCAAAACATAACTCCTTAAATTTGAGGAGTTAAAAAGTGTGCGCATTTAGCCTAAACCTTAGCTCCCTATAATTTTTCCTTCGCCATATCTTCCATCCTTTTGTATACAAACTCCGTCTCAACCACATTTGTACAATACATTAAATTCAATACTTGATATTTCTAATGCACGTATTTCAACAACATTTCAAAACAATGTTTTTAGATTTAAATATTTAAATTCAAACGCAACATATGGTCCGAATGAAAAAGTAATCCAAATAAAACATCATAGAACAACATTCAATTGTTGTGAAGTGCCCACAAATGCTCAATAAGATCTTTTTTTGAAAAAAAGTGCTCAGTAAGATCATCATGAAGTTGGTGACGAGCTTCTTGGTTCTCGATGCTGCGATGGGTTGCGAGGAATCTCCGAATCCTTCTTAGTCGATGTTCTGGCAATGCCATGTGCATGTCCAAAGCATACAATCAAAGGATCGAAGCATCCTCAGACAAAAACTTGTTAAAAACATTTCCCACAACCTCTTCATCTAGACAAATGCAACATGCAATGAGCAAATTGAGTGCATAAATGAAAAAAAACACAGAAAATGGGAAAGTTTAACCTTTGGGATAATTCGCCGAACTCTTTGCGGACAGAGAGAGGTTTGAGTGGCTGTGACAGACGTTGGTGCGTTGTCGATGCTGCCAAAGACGAAGATGATAATGAGGGAGGCATGGACGCTTCAAGAACTGATTCAAGCCTTGTGGTGATGTACATGCCGCCAAGGAAGCATGTGGTGACTTGGCTCCAACTTTTGGAGGATTTATGGTGTGGAAACAAGATGGATGCCAGTATCTCCCACATAGGTCAGCTAGACCTTTTGCTCCTGTGGCGGATGTGTTCCCATGGAACCATGGCGTCAACGTGGTGTTCGATGCGGCGGCAAAAGGCGGTGATCTGGTGGCAGGGCCGGCCGATGGGCGAGGAGAGGGTGGGGGAGTCGGTAAGGTTGCGGGCGGGGTGGGGAGAGGGGTCATCATGGACAGTGTAGAGGGTTGGCTAGTCATCGATGTGGAGGTGGGCAGCAGCGGACGGTAAGAGATAGAACATGCGCGTCATGGGAGGAGAGAAAATGTTTAGGGAGATTTAAGATTCCTGGTCAAATTGAGTAAGGATTGATGGTTTGAGGAGTTTCTCCTAAGAAAAGAGTTATAGGATTTTATGGAAGGGCTAAAAGGGTTCAACTTCTCAAACAGAATTTTTTTAGGGAGTTAAAGGGTTGGGGAAAAGGGCTAGACATGCTCTAAAAGAGTGCATACTTTACACATGTTGTATTAGGATGGAAGGGGGTTTCTCTTCCAGAGTTTTTTCTGTTTTGCCTCCTCACTTTTGCATATCTGAATAGTACTAACGGACCAAATATAGTCATTTCTTATGTGCGAGTGGCCCGTCAATGTCTCCCAGTCAGTGACGACTTTGTTCGTTAGTGCTCGATATCAGAAGGGCTCCAACCGGAGTTTTATTACTAACCGACTCTAGCCTACTTTCTTATTAGTGATGTAAATTATGCCTGGCAGCAAAAGGCCGCACTGTTTGCAGTCTAATAAATCATTGCATCACATACAGATATCCTCAATACTCCATTTCATATGCACATACACAAAATCTTTTAGAGCATCTATAACCGGGTACCTCAAACGCCCTCTATATGTCTGTGCGGACGGCCTGGTCAATTATCGGTTACAAAATCTCGACCCAGCCGCACCCCTCATACCGGCACTAAACATTCGGACTAACCAACACCCCTTATATCCAGCTCATATCTGAGACGGATATGGGAAGGCTCGGACGCGTCTGGATGCGTCCGCCACGTTGGACTGACGTGCGGGACCCACACGGAAAACCGTGGAAACCCAGCGGTGCGGTGAGAACGCCGCTCAGGCGTGCTGCCCGAGGGGCCAAATACAACTCAATCTTTTTAACTGTGCGGCAAAAATCAAGAAACGTCACCGGCATGACATTTTTTCTCACAATGTACAAAACATTCTTCTAAAAAAGATTTTTGTACAGTACACAGGAAATGTCATGACAGCAACGAGATGAATCATGTCTTCATGTTTGCCAAAAATATGCAAAGTATACTCAGCTAAGCACAAAACGGAAAACAACACCAATTACTTTATCAACTTGCCTAGCAGAAACATCCACCCAAACATTCCAGGTGACAAAATAGTCGCTCCCAACAAACGATAAATAACCAAGCATAGCCAAAGCGATTTGGAGCATTGCACAACATACTGTTCGCTGCCACATCAACTTGGAAAACAGCCGTCCAATTCACACCTCAACACGGTGACGACACCATGAGCCCCATCCCCTCCCCGGCCGTGATCATCTGGCCCGCAGCTTCCCCACCCTTCCCCACTCTCCACACGACCCGGCAGCCGGCACAAAAGCGCCATGGACCAGTGCTCTTCCTGAGCGAGCCCGCCACCACGACCGCCACAGCCCGCCTTGCCGACGCCATACCCGGCCGGCTGCTCCGCGACGCCACGCGCAATGCAGTTCCTCGCGGCTTCAGGCCCCTCGTCCACCGCGCCGCGGCTCCCCCAGCCCTCCGCCCGCCTCTCGAGGCCCCATCCCTTCGCGCACCTCCGCCGCCGCTGCGCTCCCCACCTCCCATCCAAGCCGCCGCCCCTGGCATCCGTGTCTCCGGTCCTGCTCCCATGGGCACGGCGCTCCCTGGCTTGCACGCCCCGCGCTCACAGCAACCACCACGGGCACGGGCACCATGGGCACGGGCACGGGCACTGCCATTGCCACCACGGCTCGAACCTGCATGAGGGAGGCGGGGGCGCGACGGTCATGCGGTTGGCGAGGGCGATCGGGTGGGCTGACGTCGCCGACGCGCTGCGGGGTCACCTGCAGGCCTGCCGCATCTCCCTCGGTCTCCTCCTGATCGCCGCCGCCTGCCCACACGTGGCGCCGCTCAACTCCGTCGGGCGTTTGCAGGCCGCGCTCATCGCCGTCGCCTTCCCTCTTGTCGGGGTAATGCACTCTCCCAGCTAATTTGTCAGAGAGAAGTGCATATTTCAATTCTGAACTTTTGCCCTAGTCTAATTTACAACCCCGAACTTCAATACCGTCTAAATTACACCCTTAACTCTCAAAACCGGCCAGGATTCAATCCTCCCTTCTTTGTTGACCAGTTTTTACCTGGTTGATCGGTTTTGACCAGTCAACAGGTCCAGTCAGCATCCCACATCAGCAAAAAATGCAAAATTTCCTAGAAAACAACCTGTAAAATCGAAGAAAATCCAGAAAAAGAAAGAAATCCAATTTCCGAAAAACACGGAAAACAAAAAAACG